AGGGTTTTGGTGCGGACGTCCGACGCATTACCACACATCTGACCTCTGACTTCTTCTTTTCCATTTATTAATGGTTCTATTTCAATGTACACTCAAGTAGTAGTTGAACGTTCTAAATAGGCATATTTAGCTGCGGCAGTTATGGTCTCAACATCAACATGCATTTTTTTAATGCTCGCGTAGATATTGCGTCTCCCGGGAATTAAAACTGACTGAACGATTTATCCGCCAGAACGCCACATATATCCTAAAGTTCATTCAAGTGTACGCCCCTACTACAGGACATCCAGATGAAGAAGTCCAAATATTCTACGACCAAATATCCTGTGCAATCAAGGAAAATTCTGACAACTTCTTAATAATAGGTGCTGATTTCAACGCCAAAATAGGCACTAAGGAAGACCCCTCTGAAATAATATTGGGAAATTTTGGAAGCGAAGGCAGAAATGATAGAGGCAAACAACTACTAACTTTCCTTTTGGAAAACAATCTCTATGAAATGAACAGCTTCTTTAAAAAGAAAAAACACAGAAGATGGACATGGGAAAGTCCTGATGGAAAAACAAGGAACGAAATCGACTATTGCTTAACAAACAAAAAAAAATTATTTAAAGACGTAAATGTGCTAAATTAGTTCAGTACAAGCAGGGATCACAGGTTAGTAAGAGCTAAAAGAACGATATCAACCGAAAAAGAAAGACTCAAAATGATAAATAAGAAACAACCAAAGAAATGGACAAAACCAATGTTTTGTCCACTGAATTGAGGAGTTCGAAAAATATATTGGTAATTCATTGAAAGATACAACAACAGCAGACATCAATATATTGAACAAACAAATAGTCAACACAATGCAACAGGCTCAAACTAAATATTGTCCGACAAGCAAAAAAGATGAAAAACTGAGTCAACCCACGAAAACCCTTATAGAACTAAGACGACAAATGAAAGGAGATAACAGTACAAGCAAAGAAGCGATAAATCAAATAAATAAGACAATCACAAAGGCAATAAGAAAAGACATAAGAAACTACAATGTAGAAAAATTAAAACAGGCAATAGAGTAAAATAAGAACATGAAAGTTTTGAAGAGAAGCGTACAAAAGGGGAAAATAGAAATTAACAAACTGAGAAACAAAACTGGAGAAGAAACAACGAACGGAGATGAAATATTAAGAATAGTCGAGGAGTTCTACACAGAGTTATATAGATCAAGATAAAAAGATAACAATACGGAACCTCCAATTACAATAAAAACTGTGGTATTAAACCAAGGATCAGATTTAATGCCCGATATAACAAAATCAGAAATCAAAGAAGCCCTGAAGAAAATGAAAAATAATCGAACCCCGGGTGAAGATGGAATAGTATCAGAAGCACTAAAAATTGGAGGGGATGTATTACTTTAAAAAATTAAACAACTTTTCAATATCTCACTTCGTTCGGCGCATAATATCGGGCGCGTCAAGAAAAGTCATGCTTCTTGACGAGATGTTACCTTAATTATGGATTTATTAATTGGTACGATTTGTGTATAAAGTCAAGACTAATAAATCTAGCAACTTCCCTTAACATGGTCATTGCTTCCAGCGAAAAAATATTCATAAGGGAACGTGGAGATGTTTCTCCACTTTTCTCCTCTTTCTATTTGGCAGTCCTAAACCCAACATTATCCTTTTCATTGCTATTTCCGTTATGGCTAGTTTTTTTTATATTTGACATCCTATTATGACATCCAAATGTCATGATAGGAATAATGCACTGGTTGAACATTTTGCTTCATTACTATGAGAAACAAGTGGGAAAATAAAATCCAGGAAGCCCACTTCAGTTATAGGTAAATGATCACAGTAATCCAATAATGACTTTAAAAAGAATTAATCAAACTGAGCTAAATATTTCTTCATTTCGTCCAGATCGTAGTACACTTCTCACAAAAAAATCATGTACCATGTTAGAGTACAAATTCAGTTCACATATATTGCAAAATACATTTAACCGTCATTTTCTATCAACGTTCTTCTCAATCAAGCTGATAATTCGAATAATGCATGAACTTTCAGCTGCAAAGCAATGCGAGAATAGAAATCAAATTGTGATAACAGCAACGAAATGTGTGCTCGTTTTCCAGGAAGAAATTATTAGTGCGGAAACTGAAAGGGTTACATGGTTTTATTAAATAGCGCGAATGAAAATGTCAAGTCAATTTAATTTGCGAACAGGTTTTCAGAGCATATTGTAAATTGCTTTTAAATTTAATAGACGGGTGGGCGGATATGTTTTGAGTTGTAAAAAGGGAAATCAAAAAAATATTGACAGATTCAAATATTTTTATTAATTTAAATAGAGTTAAAAATAGTCTGCTTTTATGCCATTTGTTTTTACACATGAAGTAGAGAGGAGGAAAATTGAATTGAAAAGCTTTAGTTTGGCTTTGAAGTTACTATAATTTAGATCTGTTTTTTTGGTAAAATGCGCTAGTTAAAATATTTTCCAGCTAAGAAGACAGCTTTGCAATGTACTGGCGAACCAGATAAGCGGCGATATATTTTACCTACCTTTATGAATAACACTTGACTGCTCTGTTGTTTAAATCAGCACTGCTCAACAAGTTATCGTTTATTGGTTTTAATATTTTATTGCAATAGTACGAGTACGGAATATTTATTTAAACTGTGAATTTATTACGTATCATATAATGTAGGTTTGCCCAATAAACAAAGTTATGCCTTTACAAGAACATATTATTTGAAGAATAAATAGTACCATGTATCATAATAATTGTAATCTCCTTTATACACACTTAAAATTCGTTTAGTGATATATTCCTTAAATGCACAGAATCATTGAACAATGATTCATGCTATTTAAAAATATCTTTCTGTCAACGACACTGTTATCGACAAAGTAGATCAAATTCAAACTTGTCATCATATTACACTTCTGTTTATCGTTAAAAATTAATTGACGGTCCTGGGTTGTATTAGTGTTACTTAATAATTTAGCAAAATACAACCCCTGTCCTTTTTAGGATGTAGTAGTTGTATATAAGTACCTGTTTTTTTATAGTATTGTAGTGAAACGGTACTTCAAAGTAAAATAAGTATTTTGGAAGAAAATATGTTCAAAACAGTCGAAATGTAGAGTCTAGAAGAACGGCTTCTAGTTCTGAATGTCAAAAGTTATTGAAATGTGAAAAAAAAATAATATGGGTCCATTGACATCTGTTATGGCAGCTAAGAAATGTACATGCGATGCTTACGGTATCTCAGTGAGGACATTCCGAAGAATTATTAACATGCGTGAGGATAAAATAAATAAAGTAAACAAGAGACATCGTCGACATTCAAAAACTTAACAGTGGATATTTAGACCAGTCAATTAAACTTGCAAAATCATCCTCGCAATATAACACCACGAAATGTTATTCTTCTAGACGTTCCGATAATGGTAAATGCTACATTATACTTTATGCAAGAAGTGATAAGGGTTTTATTCCTAACGGTAGTTTAATTTTTCATCCACAAAGAATACAGGTGATTACCATGGAAATATATGGATGCAAATATTTTTGAAGAATGGTTTGAAGAAAATTTGTTAAAAAAATTGGAGCGACCATCCGTAATAGTGTTCGATAATGCTACCTACCCCTCAAGAGCAGAAGAGAGATTTCCTTCAAGCAGCTGGAGAAAAGAAGACATAGAGTTGTGGTTGACAGAAAAGAAAATTTATCACAGTGGCATATTTTTAAAAGTCCATTTACTTCAAAGGTGTGGAGAGCACAAAATTCTAAAGAAGTTTGTTACGGACCAAATGGCTCTTAAGTATGGCCATGAAGTTCTTCGACTTCCGCCCTACCATTGCCACTATAATGTAATTGAGTTAGTTTGGGGTATATCCAAAAAATTTTATGATAAACATGGATCCAAAACAACAGATGACGTTAGCATTCTTAGTTAATGGAAAGAATCCTTAAGAATAAAAGCAGAACCTTGTGCTAGAACAAATAAAAGCAGAACAAGGGTAAAATTGTATTAGACATACCGAAGATATAATCGTTTAGTATTTTTAAACCCAGCGAGTTATAGATAAGGTCTGGCCTCTAATTATTCGGATAGACAATTCAGATAGTGACGACTCTGATAGTGAAATATCAGACAGTGAATGGGACAAATCGTTTGCTAAAAAGAAGTAACAAAGAAGTGTTTCGGGAATTTAATTCGGACTTTATGGTTTTGTTTTAGTTAAACTATAAACTACCTTCGGTTTAATTACTGGACTGCATACTTTTAATAGCTTTAGTATTAATTACTGGACTACACCTTTTGTTTCGCTGAAAACTCGGAAATAATTTAGTGCCAATTTATTTCAAGGTTATACTTATTACACTGTCTGCAGACAATAAAGTCTTGGATGTATTTTATTCAAATTTGAACATACCAGCAACTTTGCAAGTATTTTCCAATTTTACTGCATGCAAAACCATTCGTATAATTTTCACTCTACGCAAAATAAAGACTTATAGAGACCTTGATGAACATTTGATGTCGACAAATAATTTGGAGTATTCGAAATATTCCGTCCCACTTCTTTTAATACGCCCTGTATATACATATTATATTTATTTATTTGCGTTTGATACTTTTTACTGAATATTTTTACTTTTCAAGCGATCGAAATTAAAAAATATTAACGCCCCACTGTTTGAGGCCCACTGATCATATCTTAATTGCATATAGGCCGTCACAGGGGAAAAGGATTTTAGTGAACATGATAAACCTTCTTTTGAAAAAAGTTCCGAGTATCCAAAAGTCGATTGAGACGACGTAGTCACGTAGACCCATAGTTATATCTTATAGAGAAATCTTATAGACTCTTATAGAGAAAGTACATCTTCGTAATAAAAAAGCGATGTACATTGACGAAATCAAGTGCAGTAAAACAACTGATGTGTCGTCGACTTTATTAAAAATAAAAAAGTATAAACAAATAAAACTTACCTCATCTGTAACAATATACTGGACGGAGAGGGGTGTGATCAGTGAGAAAATCTCTTCGGCTGTATTGACTAATCCCATAAGGGTACCAGCAAAATTTGGAGACAAGTCAATGTGATTTATATTATATCCAGCGGATTTTGCTGCATGTACTCCTTCTGAAGCTACTAGAATAGCAACCACCACGTATCTGTTGGTGGTTTCTGGCAGAAATCCAATTATGAAGAGCATTATACCCATGCCAGCACTACCTAAAATAATTAGTATATAGAAATATTATACAAATATTAATTTATATTTAAATAATAATTTAAATTAAAGACTTGTTAAAATATCTCTTTTTTTAGGCAGATCTGATTGTCTGTTTTTCAATGTTACTAAAGTAAATTGTCGTTCCATCGTTTTCGTGATCTTCCCACTATCGTCTTCCTATTGAAGAGCCATCTTTCGCCATTTTTACTTCTCTATTTATACTATTTGTACGCTTATATGACAGTTTCATTCTGCTCTTCCTATTCTTACCTAAGTAGATAATAAGCCACTTGAGTGCACTTTGACCTTTCAAGCTCGGCGACTTCTACACGTGACATAATATGTGACATTTGACATATTACGGGAATTCGAGATAAAACGTGTCATAATACGTGACATTTAACATGAAACGTTTTATGTCATATTCTATGTCTAATGTGGCTTATTATCTACTGAAAGCGATCTCTTAATATAGCATTCTAATCGAAGTACCATTGATTGAACCGAAGACCAGCACATACGAAATGATCGTACTTTTGAATGATTGTATGACATCATAATCATAAATAATAGTTCAGAAGAGGAATATTCTTAATAACTAGTACTTTAATTGTTTTTTGTTTGTGGGCGAGACTTTATTTAGGCTTAGTCTTAAAAACATTTGTACTTAAGATGTGTTTCCATTAATTATAACTAGTACTACAAAGTCCTTTCCAAGAGAAATATTTGGTAGAAATTCTTGGTACAGATTTATCGAGATTTCAGGTCAACGAATATTTTTCTGCATTGGAAATGGCTGGATTAAATGCTAATTTTTCTACAAATTATTCTAAAGGTACTTCCAGGAGCACTTTAAATTTGTTCTTATCAGATTTATTAGATTTTCTAGATACATAACAGAAAACTGTTGTCAGCCATGTTGATAGGGAGACAGAAATTTCTTAAGCATAAATAGAGTTTTTACTTTCTTGAAACCGATTGGTCCCATACTCTATATCTGATATGTCAGATAAATTACCTGCTAGATGTTTCAATTTTTTATTTGTCAATTTACTTTTTGAAGGCGCATACTAGAAAACGGATTTAATAATTAAGATTTTTCGATTTACTGTACACAACGCTCTAGAAATAAACTTATCTTATACTACAACAGTCTAGGAAGCAATATATAATAAAATTGTAATTAAATAAATTTTAATTAAGATACATTAACACAAGCTCAGGAAAAATTTGGCCCTAAACATGGAAAAGAACAAAAAATTAGTGAAGAAACGAAACAAAACATGAAAGATCGTAGAATGCTGAGAAGTCAAGGAAATGTTGACTCACAAGATATAAACAGCATCAATAAAGAAATCTCTCTAAATATCTAAAGCCATCAGACGGGATATTAGAAAATACAACAACGAGAAAATTATAAAAACTATAGAAGACAACAAAAATGGAAATATTATCTCAGATAGATCAAGCATATTACATATAGTGGAAAGTTTCTATGAAACATTATATAAAAGTCAAGTTATTCCAGAGCTCATCGAACAACCAATACAAAAGGTACATAATGTAGGATCGGAGGATATACCAGATATATCACGAGAGGAAATTCAACATGCCCTCAAAAATATGAAAAATAATAGAGCTCCGGGGAAGATGGTGTAGTCATTGAGACAATTAAACTAGGAGGTCCACTTTTGATGTCCCAAATCCAAATACTTTTTAATCTATGTCAACATAGTGAAAACATTCCAAGTAAATGGAAGAATTCGGTTACAATCCTGCTCCACAAAAAAGGGGAAATCAGATCTCGAAAACTATAGGCCAATTAGTTTGCTTAACCACCTATACAAGCTCTTTACTCGAATACTGACAAACAGATTAGAAGCAAAACTCGATTTCTATCAATCAGAAGAACAGGCAGGATTTCGAGCGGGACACGGAACAAAAGACCATTTGCAATGCCTTAAAACTCTAGTTTAAAAGTCTATCGAATATAACAGACCCGACTTCCACAAAGTATTTGACACAGTCGAAACAGTTGCTATCTTAAAAGCACTATCAGAATGCAGAATAGATCACAGGTATGCAAATATTATTCGAAATATATACGAAAATGCGACAACAACCGTTAACCTCCATTGCATGACTGAGAAGATAAAAATTGGCAGAGGGGTGCGGCAGGGAGATACCTTGTCGCCAAAACTATTTATAACAGTTATGGAGTACGCATTTAAACGGCTAGAGTGGGAATCAAAGGGTATTAGCATCGATAGAAAGATATTCAATCATCTCAGATATGCCGATGATATTGTTCTTATAGCAGACAACTTAGGAGAAGCCAGAGTTATGCTACAACAACTACAGCAAGTAACCCAGAAAGTCGGTTTAAAAATAAACTATGGAAAAACAAAAATGATGACCAATCTCGTCCCCAATGAGCTAATAGAAATCGAAAAGTGACCCTTAGAACTTGTGGAAGAATATGTCTATTTGAGTCACGAAATAAGGTTAACGCGAGATAACCAAACATGCGAGCTACTCAGAAGAATAAGTCTATGTTGGGCTGCAATCGGAAAAATAAGGGACGTATTTAAAACAAATATACCAATCCATTTAAAAAGAAAAGCTTTTAACCAGTGCGTTCTACCAGTCCTCATATACGGAGCAGAAACCTTAACTCTCACAAAAACATCAGCCGAAAAATTGAGAAGGACACAACGAAAGATGGAGAGATCAATGCTTGGAATAAGCTTAAGAAATAGAATAAGAAACGAGAAAGTTCGTAGATGAACCGAAGTGGAAGACATTATCGAACATATTACAAGGCAAAAATAGAGATGGGCAGGACATGATGCAAGAATGAAAGACGACAGTTGGACAAAAAAATTGCTTGAGTGGAGACCACGGGCTGACAAGCAAAGCCGAGGAAGACCCCAACGCGATGGACCGCCGAGAAGGCATATGTTCAACAATGGACAACTTAGGGCTGATTGATGATGATGATAATGAATTAAATAAATTATTAATATATTTGAATGACAATTACTTACGTTATTTTGATTTTATGTTAATAATAATTGTTCCATCACCAATAAAACCCTTAATTTTCAATTTAACATTAATAATAACTTCGCTCTGTACCAGTATAAACTGTGTTAGTTTTCCATTCATCATTGCCTGTATTCGATTATTCAAGTAGATGTTTTCGATGGTTTGTAAAATATTGATTGGTATGTTTCATTTATAAAGTAGGTGTAAGACGTCTTCTAGTTGGATGCGATCGAAAGCCTTTGTCAGGTTGATAAAACATAGATGTGCTGGTTTATTCTACTCAATGGCCTTTTCTGTTCTTTGTTTTAGTACAAATACAGGATCTTCTGGATCTGAATCCTTGTTGTTCATCTGATAAAGTTGTCAGTTTATTGATTTTGTTAGTAAGGTGTGCGGTCTTCAATAGATTTATACCTTTATAATTGTTGGGGTCTTCTTTATCTCCTTTCTTGAACATTGCTATCACTATGCTGTTTCTCTATGCATCTGGTATCTTGCAGTACAATATTAGTTTTTGTGTAAGTTTTCTCATCTCTAGGTTATACTTCTTCCATGTTTTAGAACCTCGTTGATTATTCCGTCTTGTCCTGGTGAATTTCTATTTTTGAGTAAATTTTTGTTCATCTCTACTTCTTGAAAACTAATTTCTATTTCGGGTTTTAATTAAGGTAGATTATTGTATTTGTTTTTGTGTACCGTTTGTATGCGTATAGAAGCCTTTGAAATGTGGGTTTTGAAAAGGTGTCTTGGGATTTTGGAGTATTTGATGTTTTGCGTTTTCCTACAGCTTTTATTGCTGCCGCCCAAAGAATTTTACATACATTTTTTAAACATTAAATATTACATCTATCTCGGGGCGAATAAGTTCAGCAGTACCGATAGGGCTAAAGACTTTTACCTCAAAAGCACAAACAAAGGCTATTTTTGTTTTCTAGGACTGTCATTTCGATTTTTTTTTATTTACAGATATTTAAATATATACAAAAAATTTATACTCACCGATTACTGTAAACAACTTCCGGGTATTTGTCAATGACAAACATTTCCGTTTAGTTATATAATCTGCCGAAAATCCCCAGATAAATACGCATACAAATCTGTTTATATAAGGCAACGATGATAAAACTCCGTTCTAAAAAAGAGTTTTTGTGAATATTGATGTTGAAAATTCCCGACAAATAAAGAAAACGTTATACAAACATAAAAAAAAATTTAATGTATATTTTATTCCGATTTAGAGTCATATACACCTACACATGAGAAAGTTTTGTAATATTCTCCTTATAAAACTTGTTAATGTTAGAAAAATAAGCATTTTGCGCTCATTAGATATTCTTGTGCCTCTCAAAGTATTTCCCATGAGAGTGCAGCAGGTGTTCACTGCTGCAAAGATGAAATATCTATATTCCGCTCAACTATTAAGCGATACTACAGCTTCTTTCCATATTAGTTTGATACATAGTTATACAAAAAATTGTAGCTTTAACCCTTAACTACCATGGCCAAAAATAGTAACATTTGTACAATGGCAGGGTGAAATTTCAACACCATTGTTTTTTGTATCAAAAATTATTCTTTTTTTAACTTGTTTTATTTTAGATTATTTTGTTTACAGCTACTTTTACATTTATATAAAAATAAACGAATTTGGTTAAAGATATAACTTTATTTAAAAAAAACTTTTGTATTCAGTCAAATTAACATAGCTATGCACTTTCTCGAATTATAAGAAAAATAATGACAATGTGCAGTTTTTTTTATATTTAATGGTGAAATCTAGGTATCATAGCTCCTACCTAAAATAAAAAAAATCGATTTAGATTTCGTATCTCAAAAATGACAAGCATGATTTTACCTTAATTTTCAACACAGCTTATGCATAACGTCTGTATGCGGGAATGATTTTTGCAAATAAAATCTCGACATTTATCGCACGATGAGCTTTCTTTCTTTTAGTTTTTGGAATATGGACATATTTTACACCTTCCCCTCTTTTTCGTCGTTGTGGCTCTGGATTTGAGGCAGACATTGGTTCCTAAAGTCCGGAAACTTTAAAAATGGCACTACGAATTTCTCTCGGTAAACAAGTTTGCTGAGCTCTACGAGTTAAATGGGCCTTAATAAGTTCTTGACCTAAAGTGTTTAGAAACAATCTTCTTTCCATTATTTGATTTTGCTGAACTCCATTAAAAATTACGTTAGCATTTAATCCTGCAATGTCCAAAATGCGAAACCATATTACTAGAGGCCATCTAAAAGTTCTTCTGCCAGTTTTATAGCATGCACATTTCTTATCCAATGAATCCACCCCATATTTTGACTCGTTGTAAAAATTTATAATCTCTGGCTTTCCATTAACCATTGTATTGGAACGATGCATAGTTGACACTAACAACACTGCACGATTTTTCTTAGGAACAAAAGATACAAGGCTCTCGCTTCCTGTAAAACCAAATAAGGCAGAATTAGGTGGCCTGTTTTTTTGGGGATGAAATTCAGCAGGAACCTCTCTTTTATTTCTTTTTAGAGTTCCAACATATGAAATTTTATGGCTTCTCAGTTCTTTTATGAGCTCAATGGACGAAAACCAATTATCTGCTGTTATGTTTCTATTTGTAATAGAAATTGGTGGAATAAGTGTCAAAATATCTAGAGTGGGGATGGATAACTTTTTTGGATTTGCTCTGCGTGTATCTTTTTCACTATATATAAAACCATTTAGCAAATAATGTGTCTTAGAGTCTACTAAACACTGCATTTTCAGACCGTATTTGTCTGGCTTATTTTTGAGATAGATCCTGAATTGGCACCTTTCTCTAAATGCAATAAGCATTTCATCTATTGCGAGATATTCACCACAGCTATAATTGGACTGGCAATTAATTATAAACATATTAAAAATATTGGATATAGCTGCCAATTTATCTCCGTGCGCAATACGTTCTTGTCTAGTAGCTGGGTCGTCAAAACAAAGGCTTCCAAGCAAAACATAAAATCGGTTTAGTGATATGGTTGCTCGAAATATATCACGGCCAGTACCATTCGTAGCAAATAAAGACCTTAAATCTTCATTATTGGATTTAAATACCCCAGCTAAATATAATAAGCCTTTAGAAGAAGGCCTTTAATTCAATTATGTCAAGATGATTGGTATATTGACACGATAAATTGTGTAAATTATATTTTGAAGCCATATTAGTTATTCGTTCATTGGTTTTCTCAAGAATTTCTGGCAATATATCGTGGCTAATAATACATTCCCAAGCATCAACTGGTTTCTCTGGCATACTAGCTCGAGCTTTTCCAATAACACCAGGTAAATGACTAAGTAAATTATGCTTACGTGTACGAGAAAAGGTGGGAGAAGTTTTAGACCACTTGTACCTATTTTTGCCATAAAACACATCCCTTGAGTCAGCTATATCACTTTCTTCACCCGAATATTCATTACCAGTTTCGAAATTATTAATTTGCCAAATTTTTTCGTCATCATTGTCCCATTCCTCTTCACTGTCTGTGTCGTGATCACTGTGTTCACCAGCCTGGACTAAAAACTCACTGTCACTATCTAGTCAATTGTCCATAATTTTTTGTACCTCCTCTTCAACTTCTTTCTGTGTCAGAGGACCTTTATTGCGACTACACCGCGCCATTTCAAATTACTCGTTAATTGCACTAGAAACACTTATACCATAAGCGGGTCAAAATTGACCCTATGCGTGCCTAACTCTGCAGTAGTAACAGATAAACTAACGGAATTTTCGTAGATCGATAAATCACCTACCGGTCGAAGATTAGCAGAAAGCGTGCAATGCTCAATCTATGTTTCGGTAGCGAAACTTGGCATTAAAAATGCGGGGGTCAATTTTGACCCCGCCATGGTACTTAAAGGTTAATAAAACCAAGAGTGACATATGTAATGAAAAATAAAGGGTATAGCGGAAAAGGCAACTTAGTCAAAAAACTATATTTTTCAGGGGAAAGAAAACAACATTTGAAACGATAAAAATTCTATGCCTTTTTACATTAACCTTTTATAAATAGCTGAAATAATGTTAGGATTGAATTTTTATTTCGTAGTTAGAAATTTTTTAACTAAACAAAATGTGGACTGAGTTGGTTCTTCCCTGAATAGATAAAAAAAATTAATTCTTATTCTTTTTTTATTTTGTCAAGCACTTCTACATCACATTTAAAGAACAAACCAAGCTACAAACTACTGACTAAAGTTAATCTGATTTTTAAAAATCGTTTTGATCGTCGGGAACATTATTGGGCTCAGATGGTAACTCAGGCTGATTGGCAGAAAGAAGTTGGCTGTAGTACTCTTTAGATCCATCTTCTTCACATTCTAATTTCATTAGAACTTTTAGATCAGCACACTTTTCTTTGGACAAAGGTATAAGCGTTTGGTAGAGCTGATTGGGTTCTTGAAGGTCAGGTACCTTTGATTTCCCCTTCTGGTTCTTCCGTTGATCTTTTACCAAGTATGACGTGAAAGATCTGTTATATGTTTCCCCTGTGATCCACAGTTTTGCATTTTGTTTTAAAAACATTAACTGTTTTAGTTTCCGAATAGGAAAAGAAAATTTCTTTTTGTAGAACTTTTCTGAAATTTCTGAAATTAGGAGAAATACTTATGGAAAACGAAAGGTTTTCTGCAAATCCCATTAATTGTTTAGAGGTATAAGTTGGTTGAATGTACTGTATTTACTAACTAAATCATGTCCAACGAAAGTTTCAATTTTGATTTAATTACAGGAAAATATTACTTTACTTAGTAAACTCTCCCGTGGACCACCCTTGAGGATCTCTCGGACCACCGATTAGGATACATTGCTCTATTGATTGAAATTTAGCGTTTGTTTTAGTAGCCGATGAAAAATATTAATCCTAGATATAATTCTTAGGATTACTCTGTAAGAGATAAGTCTTTTTTTAAATGAATAATAAGGTGTTTTTAGACATGAAGATAACATTATATTTATTATATTCGTCCTCAATTATTTTGTTCAACGAATATCTTGTCGGATCACTGCGTAAACCAAAACATAAACTTTTATTTTCTACGCTTTATATTTCTTGGCATTTCAATCACGTTTTCCTTCCGGATATTTACTACTGACCTATTTTAAGCTGAAACTGACAAATTTTTACAACTTATGCTGCACTTTGGAAGTTTACACAACTTATATAAATCTCCACGGCTCAACGAATAATATGAAAGAATCTTGTATTTGAAATGGAATTTAAAAATGTCCTACTAAAGTTTGATTAACTTTTACGGAATTATATTAAATGTATGAATTAATAAGCTTTTAAACGGAAAAATAAAGTAAAGTTTGTAAAGAAAAAATATGTTTCGTTTTAACTACTTTTTTAGTGGCCGCAGGCCATTTTATATATTGCGATTATTGCCAAGAATATATATTGCGATTATATTTACATCATAGTTTTTACTGCTTTCTATCTCGCCAGTCATCATCCTGTAGATGCCGTTTGGTCATAATTTGTTTGATACCCCCTTGCCATATCTTTCTCAGCGGTCCTCTTCTTCTTCTTCTCTTCATTGGTTTTCATTCTACCATTTTATTTGGCCATCTGTCTCCATTCATACGGTTAACATGTCCGTACCATCTCAAATTCTTGACTAATAGTGGCAATTATTGTGTTTTCAATACTCAGTATTTTTCTAATCTCGTCATTTTTTTTTGTTGTCGTGAACTGTCAGTCTAAAACAATGTCTTCAAAATTCCACTTTCATTGACACTAGCTTCTTTTTTATTCTTTTATTTGCCAGACCTCAGCTTCATAATTTACGATGCTTTCGACTATGGTCTTGTAAATCCTCATTTTTGTGTCTTATGTAATTTGTGTGTTGTTGCCAGTTTCTTAATTTCTTAATGTCTGTCTTAATTTCAGTTTCACTAGGGATTTTTTTACTAATTGTAACACCAAGGTATCTACATTCTTCATCCAACTTTCTGATCATATATCTTACATCATGCTCATCCTTAGCTAATATGTCTTAGTCGTCAGCAAAGTGTAAAGTGAAAACTTTTTCGTTTTCTATAGATATATCCATTCATATAAAAGAAGGTTCATATGGAATAATAAACAACTGCCACAAGACTGGAATACCTGAGTAATTATCCCACTACATAAAAAGGGAGATCAGCTTCAATGTAAAAATTACCGGGCAATAACGCTACTAACTGTGGCATATAAAATACTGTCAAATATTGTGTATAACCGATTGAGACCATATGCAGAACAAATAGTTGGGGGATATCAATGTGGTTTCCGCAGGCAGAAGTTCACAACAGATCTTCGTCTTGAGGCAAATCTTGGAAAAGACTAGTAAATTTAATCTAGACACACATCATTTTTTTTATTGATTTTGAGAGTATCTATGATAGCATCTATCGAGTTCCTGATCCATGCACTGACATAGTTTAATAATCCAACTCAACTTATTGATATAGTAAAAGAAACACTTTAAAAAGTATACAGCAAAATTCGAATTCAAAACGCAATAACAGATACAATCCATGTGAGAACGGGCCTAGGACAGGGAGATGCCCTATCCTGTATTATATTCAACATCACATTAGAGAAAATAATTAGAGTCAAAAGTCACTACCAAAGGAACCATAATAACAAAATGTGTACAAATATTGGCATTTGCAGATGATGTTGATATTAGAGCTAGAAGCGAAAGAGAGATGATAGAAGCATTTAATGCGATAGAAAGAGCGGCACAAAACTGTAGCCTAAACATTAACGAAATAAAAACCAAATACATGAAGGTCAGTAAATCGACATGCCAAAGAAACCTACAGAATCTGACAAGAGGAGGCTATAACATCGGAAGCGTGAATAATTTTACATATCTAGGTTCACCAGTTACCGCAAATAACAGTGTCTGTGAAGAAGTTAAAAGAAGAATACATACCGCTAATAAAACAGATAATGGACTAATTAAACCTCTAAGATCTAACATCACAAGAAAAATCAAATGCAAAATATACAAGACCCTGATAAAACCGGTCCTTGTATATGGATCAGAGACATGGACACTGTCGAAAAGCGATGAGAACCTATAAGGTACGTTTGAACGAAAAATCCTTAGACACATATATAAGGGGGTGAAAGAAAATGACATATGGCGTAGAAGATATAACTTTGAACTATACACAGCATACAATGAACCTGAGGTCATAACATCCATAAAGATCGGACGTCTGCGCTGGATGGGCCTTGTTGAACGGATGTTGGAGACTGAAACACCAACACATATAATGAGGCAAACACCAGTAGGAAGAAGGTCAAAGAAAAGACCCAAACTTAGATATATGGAACAAGATATGAAAACACTTAAGAAAACCAACTGGAAAAACTAAGCAAGGAACAGAACAGAATGCCGGAAAATCCTAGAACAAGCCAGGACAAAGAAAGGGTTGTCGAGCTACTGATGATAATGATAGATACATCCATTTTATAACACGTGCGTCTCCATCATCGGAGTGCTGAATTTAAATAAATTTTAAATAGGGTTGGAGCCATTGCATAACCTTGTCTTAGCCCTTTGGATAATTTTAAGGCTTTTCAAGATCAATTTATCAAACAACTTGGACATAATTGGTAATAGTGAAATGGTTCATTACAGCTCCACTCTGCTCACTTCTAGGTTTTGGAACCATCATGGCATTGGTTGCTTTTTAATACCTATGATAGATAGTTGGGGAATACATAGTATAGGCATTAATCAAAGTTATTAATTTGACTTGGTAAAATTCCTGCAGAACTACTAAAGCTATTAGATGCAGAACAAATAAAAATAATTATTAATTAATTATTAAAAATAATTAATAACTGAAATTTTTAATGAAATATACAAGGCAGGAAAAATACCAGTTGAGTGGCTCAAGTTGGAGTTCGTATTATTGACTAATAGACCAATTTGGATTTGGTCAATATCGTGAAGGGCTATAAGCTGCAGTACTTAAGACATATAATGAGAAATCAAGACATATTTGAGCTACTAAATTGTATTGTGCAAGGTAAAATTACACAAAAAAGTCCCCAGGACAAAGAAGTATATTCTAAAGGCATGGTATAGAAAAACCTCAAAATAGCTATTCCGTATAGCAACCAACAAAGTCAACATAGCCAGAATGATCGCCACCGTTCGGAACGGACAAGCATCATAGGAAGAAAAGATTAATTTGACCAAAGACTTTTTTTGAAATCTCAAAATATCTGTAGCTAGTGATTAGCTCAAATCCTGGTGCTTTTTAGGATTGAGATTATTATTAAATCCGTCAGCAACTTCCTTAGGGTAAACCTGTTAGTGGTTTCTCACTTTGTTAAGTTTCGGAGATGCATTAGGACCCTTATTTGGTTGAAGTCCTGTTTTAAGGTATTCTGCAAAAAAATTTGCTTTTTCTAAATTGTTACGAGCTCAACTTCCATCATCTTTTCTAATAGAAGAATCTTGAGATATTGAACGTTGAAGTAATTATAATAATTTAATTATTAGAAGAATTTTAATAATTAACTAATTAACACCTAAAAAACAAAATTTATGTAATTTACTAATGTTTGTATTTTGAAAACGATTTCCGAAGTGGAAATTCAAACGTCATCAAACTTACTTTAACATTTCAATGTGACTTATTCAATATTCCCATTTAAATAGTAATTTATCTAATTATGTCATCTGTTGAAGGCATATTAATATTTTTTGTTACTTCCTACTTTTCCTGTATTTCAAGATTTCTTATTTTTGCCTAGATGTATTTTACAAGAAGATGTGACTTTATGTGATAACTTACCGAACTAATATCAAACTTAAGCACTTTATCAAAGTAAGTGGGCATCTCTGACATAACTGTGGAAGTTCCCCATCCTTGTCCTAAACTTGTTAAAGTTATTGCCCAGAATGGTACAGACGTGAGGATTTCTATCCACGGTATCTTTACATTCTAGAAAAGAAAAAAACTAGATTTTAATAATAGTGTAATACCTAATAGAAAAAATCGGTATTAAAAGTTTTTGTCCTGTTTTTTATTATTCGCAAAATCTGTATATATGGGGTTTTTTTATTATTTATTATCTGTTTATTTAATTCAGACAAAATTCCTTTGAATTTAAGGTAACCAATAATGAAAAAGTAATAGAGTCACTATTGTGCGATGCACTCAGATCACTTCTTATTTATCCCAATATTCAGAGCTGGCTGAGATGCATAAAAGCTGAGAGATTGTTACTCGGAAAATATTAGCAATAAAGAATCTAATTAGCCTTCTTCGGTCCATCTTTGGACATAGGCCTGCCCAATCCCTGTTCATTCTTCTCTGTCTGTCGTTACAGTCAGCCACCTAAAGCAAATAACTAACTAATTAAAATTTAATCGAAGAGGACCAGAAAGGATTAGACTCCTACTGGACCAGAGCAAAATATTTTTGTAGCAGCTGCAGAAGATGAAATCTTTGGTTTAATGACAATTGCAAAAATGTAACCAATTCTAGAAGAAAGTTAACACCAAGAGAATAATTTAGGAAATTTAAATTATATCGATCAGTGAGACATTTTAACCAGGCACTTAATGCAGGTGGAAGAAGAAAACCTTCTAAACGAAAAATTTTGGATTAGGAAGAAGAAGATTGCTAAGAAAAAAGAGAAAACACCAAAAAGATTCTTGAAGTTAAAGAAGTACTTAAAAAGCTTGTCATCGCCGAATATCTATTAAGGTGCTCGGTCCTTTTCATTGCCTAAATCATATTCTTTTATTACAAAAAATACATCGTTATTGACTACAGAGATCGACTTTAAAATATTTAAAATTATTTCTAACAGATAGGTTTCAAAAAGTATGCTAGGTGAAAGAGGGAGTAAGGTTTACACTGAACAAATCAACTTTAAGGCATAACACAGGCATTATCTTGGGGCTTTTTTATTTTTGATCTATATATCAAACCTGCCAAACGTGGTAGTTAGTGGTTCTTCAAACCTTGTAAATTTTGTTGATGACTCAAATGTCCTGCTCTGTAGAAAAATCATTAGAATCACATCTGACGGTGGCAGAGTAAACTCTAATCAAAAATGAATAGTGGTTTACTGTAATACTGATAAGGCCGTTTTTGTTTACTTTAAAACCAATCTGTCACAAAAACAGTTTAATTCTCAGTCACAAAACGCAGAATCTGCTAGATCAGTTAACTTTCTTGGTCTAAATATTAACCAGAACCTAAATTGGAAAGAAGAAATGCAAAATGCGACAAAAAAAAAACTGAACAGAGCTTGCTTCTTATTACTATTATTGAAGAGCTATTAAGACTAGGGGATCTTCTTCTTAGAGGACCGTCTACCTATGGAAGTTGGCAATCATAATTTTTTATTTTGAACTTGCTGCTCTAAACAAATTATTCAATCTGCATTGATACCAATCACGTAGATTCTTCAACCAAGAATTCTGCCTTCGTCTAACAGATTTTCTTTCTTGAATCTTACTCTGTATTATGAGTTTCACAATTTCATATTTTGGTCTCTGATTACAGGGAGTTTATCAGGTAGTATAAGAACTTTTATTCTATTATGCGATATGGAGTAATTTTCTGGGGTGCTGCAATAGACAGCTTATATGTCTATATATAAGAGTCTTCTGTCTTCTTATAGTCTAAAAAGCCACTCCGGGTAGTCTTAGGCTTAAAGGCGGGAGTATCCTGTAGAGGTCGATAATACTTTTTGTAGTTACTCATAAGTTTTTTTGGGTTTGTATGGGTCAGCTGTGGTCTACATATCAGCAGTCATTTTGGCTTTTTTCTTGACATTTTTCTATTGAGCTCCAGACAAGCGTTTTTTGATCATTGGATCAGAGTCTGATCCTCTTGGAAAACTTTATCGTTTTTATTTGGGACGGAGACTATATGGTTATTGCCTGTATAAACCTATGTAAGATGATTATATCTTGGATGATTTCTCTTGATTAGCTAATTATGTAGTCGATTTCAATTTTTGTTATGTTGTCCGAACTTTGCCATGTTCATAATTTTTCTATTTTTTTGTCAAAGAATCTGTTTATTTAAAATGTCTGCTGCGAAAAATAAAATCAAGTAAGGTGACCTTTTCTCTACCCGAATTTCCCTATTGGTGTTGCCTTGCGTAAGTCCTACTTCCACTGTTTAAAAGGCCATAGTATGTAGGTACCTCGTAGCCTACTATAGATAAAGTCACGATCAGATGGCAGTGTACGGATATAGGATAACAGCGTTGCCAATTCTACTGCCATTGTAAGTTTTGCTACTTTTGTAAAATAAGCAGGGCCAAACTCACGGTAAACTAAGATATGTTTAGGTAAGCTAAAGTTGTTAATAGAAAATTCGTGAATGAAATAAATGGTAATAATTCCTAAAATGCTTTTATACATAATACCGCAGTTAATAGGGAAAAAAAATATGAAAAATATTCTACAGGTTTTTTAATGTTCTAAACGGTAGATAAGGGATAACTGATGATAATTCCTTGAAGAATTACAGCCAATTTTGCTTTGTTTATTTTTTAAAGAAAGATGAAGTTTGGAAAAAATCATTTTTTTGCCTATTTTGTTCCTCGTGCATTTTAGGGAAAAATGTTTCAAATAAATGTTGCAGATCTTAAAAAGTTTTTTAATTTTTTAGTTTGTAAATTAAAATACATAAACAAATGACTGAGATAATTGCAAAAACCCCTAATTGAGGCCCCTAGAACACAAGGGTGTAACTGCAGTTGCTTATCACTTAGCAACTGATATCTAACAACAGGCACGTACTTTTGGCTTCAAACTTTCTACATTAACAACAATAACACCATCAAAAATTACATGTCATTGAAAACATGCTGAAAACTGAAAAAGTGCTACCTAGGTTTTTAAATTTATATCGAACTTTGAACAAAGATTTTTCAAAACTTTGTTTTTGGCACTTACACCCCTTGTGTTCTAGGGGCCTCAATTGTGCACTAATTTATTAAATGTTCATAACTTTATTTTTTCATAATGACGTCTAATATAACTACTTGAAATTATGTTGATTAATGAGTTATTTAAGTGTGCTACATTTCAACCAGATCAACTAAATATTTTATTACCTTTACTGAGAAAAGAATACCCCCGAAAAACAATTTTCAATCATCTTCATTTTCATAATCTAGTTCATCTTCAGAGTAATCGTTTAATGAAATTCTAATAGGTTCAATGTCATCTTGAATGTTGTCTACTGTCCAAAAATTATTCTCCAATTTTATAACATGGTTGACGTAATTTTTCCAATGTCCATTGTTCTGTACTTTATCATAACCTTCATAAATCAATCTTTTAACGTCGTTTTGTTTGAAACTTGAATTCTTAGAGGACACGTACCGTTTCACTTCACTCCACACCATTTCTATTGGGTTCAGTTCACAGTGATAAGGCGGAAGTCTTAAGATATGTACATCTACGCGGTATTGTTCGTCACTGTGATTCCTGTATTTTTCACCAATACAATCAATTTTGTATTTGTCATAAATATTTTTAAATACATTAGCAGTTTCCAGAAGTTCATTTTTTAAGTAATCTTCTTCAAAATAAATGTCCTTTTCATAGAGCCACTCCTTAATTTGACGTTTCACCCAATATTGTTTGGGAAAATTTAATTTCTTAGAGTGATAAGATGCATTATCCAAGATAATGACATTCTTTTTATTTTTTGGGAGATTCGGTATTAACATCTCCTCAAACCATTTTTCAAATAGATCTCCGTCCATCTCTTCATGGTAATCTTCAGTACCTTTTTTGGCAAGAAAAGTGATGTCAGCACCTTCAACAAATCCGTCTTTGTTTCCTGCATGGACTAAAACAAATCTTGGTCCTTTTCCGGTCGGAGTTTTTAAACCTGTGGTAAGTCCATTTACGAAAGCCTGTCGGCTATTTTTTATTGTTGTATCTTGCCATACTTGCCCATTGGTTATTCCAGTATTAACCCATGATTCGTCCATATAAATGATATTGGCTCCTTCGTTCCTCAGTTTCTTTATTTCCCGGAGATAGTGACGCCTCCAAGCGACTATTTCTTGTTTTTCTATTAATATTGAATTTCTACCTTGTTTGCCATATATAAAACCCATGTCGTGCAATAGTCTTCTCAACGTACTCTTGAAAAAATTCGGAAGATGCTCCATTTGCTTAATTTTTTCTAGTACTACGTCAAGGGTTGAAGGAATATTGTCCATAAAAAAACCGTGCACTACTTGTCTTATTCTAGACCGAGTTGCTTCATCATATCTATTCTCACGACTATTCAAATAACCGGTTCTTGTTTTTCTTATAGGAGTTACAAGTGGACCATTTTTACTTTCACTTCTATATCGGAATATCGTTCGCTCAGAGATTCCAGTCATAGCAGAAACTTCCCGCACTATTGTTGATACTTTTATCATTATTACTGTTTGATAAATAGTTAAAAACATTTAACAATATTTTTTTGCATTCACTATTTAACAAATTACCGTTTTTGAATTTTATTACACTCGCCATTTTGACACTGACACGACACAAACGTCTGATATCAACTGAAAATTCTTTTAATGACTCTCAAGTATTTACCTGAATTTATAATTGCTGGCATTAGACAATAATTTTGAATTTATAAATAGGTATATTTTTTAAATTCTAAATTAATTTTTAATGTCTGTAACTGTAAATGCAGGTAGAGAAAGTGTGTCATTAAAAGGACATTAAGATCAAAAACGGATTATACAAATAATTATTTCATTTCCACGAATTGTAAACAATTTTGAACAGAAGATATAATTCCGAAAAGACCAGATTTCCGAAATATAACTTTCTATTTTTAAAATACCAAGAGAAAAATTATATAATTAAAAAAATGTAGTATTTTTCCGTTTCACATTCATAAACATTTTCCGAAATTATATTTCTTTTATAGGAGCCGGCCCATAACGTACGATTGTAGGTACGATTAAAAACTGACAACAATGTAGTTATTTCTGGCATATAGAAAGTACAGGCCTATCTCTGTAACGCTGCCATCTGAATGTGAATTTATCTATAGTGATATTTCGTTTTAAATTGGTTCTTTGTCAGAATGAGATGAGGTTAGTCCGCAGACTTAAATTATCTTTTTGTCATGCAACATAAAGATTAATTTGACCTACTAAGCATCAAATCTTGGAGTTTTTAATGAACTTTTTTGACTGACAAAACTAATCAAATACTAGTCAGATAACCATGTAGGTTCTCTGACCAATATTTTGTCTTAATATTGTAGCGGTCATACCTAAACCGAATTTGTAGACTTATATTTTGAAGAATATCCTCAGTCCTTTAGAAGTTTTTACCAGTTACGCTTAGATGTTAAGTACATACTTCTGTGCAAAAGCATTACTTGATAAAAAACCACTTTTTTATTTACCAAATAAAGCAGTTTATTTTTGAATGCATAGCCAAGTTATTGGGATATCTTGGCATTAGTATTCAACATTTATTTGTGAAGTTAGTTGATTAAGATTAGGATTATCTGAATTATATAATAAGATATTATTCTACAGAATGGAAACACAGATTTCCCCGAATTCGTAGCACCTCGAACCATAATCTTATAGCTACGTTTTTATATAACTATGCACGAACGTGACTGATTCATAACTTGCCTCAATACATTTGCTATTTATTTAAAATAATAGCATCACGAGTTGAAATGAAACGAATTTCCTCATAAATACGTAATAGTTTTAAAAGTCTAATGTTTCTCGGTAGTCATAAAGTATCAGGATCAAACAACATCGTAATTCTTGGCAAAACAAACACATTTCCAACAGACCGCAAGTTATTGACCCACTGTTTATTTCCAATTGTCTGTGTGCGAAAAAATTTATTGCTCCTTTATGATCATTTGCGTCCAACTAAGATAACCCGTTTCCATTAAAAAGAAAATCTTTTGGTGCCCGTAGTTTCTTTGATAATAAACCAATGTAAATATGCAGTTATGAGGAAATGAGTGGAAATACGTAAATAATCAGTTTCGCAAATATCTACTTCAATGCAATTTACTATTTTTATGTGAGTAAGCTTCAATTTTACTTAAAAAAGTTTATTTGCAGTCAATTTTTTACTTTCGAGGTATTTTGAGAACGATTTCCGAAGTTTAAATCGAAACGTCAAATAAATTAATTTTAAAGTAAAATTGTAGCTTATCCCAATAAAAATAGTAAATTGCATTAGGATGCCACAAGCAAATAGCTTCAGAATAATATATAATTTAATCATATCTACTTCTATAATTGGTGGACACCGTTATTTTCAACTCTTCTAACTATTTGGACAAAATGTTCGAACTTCACAATTTCACAAAATACAATACGCGTCCCAAACAATCCCTCCTTCATACATTAAAAACTCTTATACCCAGAGAAGAAAAATTATCCCGAGTTCCAAAAATATACAGCCTGCCAAAAATCCATAAGGCCAATGTCCCCCTAAGATCCATCATCAGTGCATACAACTGCCCCAATCAGAAATTTGCAAAACATTTCACCTTTTCCTTAAAACCATTAGCCGAAAACGCCTCTCCTTTGTCAAAATTCTTTCCATTTTATTGATCTTTTGAAAAACATTTCTATTTCACCCTCAGATATACTAGTTAGTTTTGACATTGTTCACCAACATTCCTATTCATGAAACCATTTCCATCTTGGACTCTAAACATTAAATCCCCCAAGACAGATTATCTTTCATAAAACACTGCATGTCTAATACATACTTCTCATTCCAAAATCAATTTTATCGTCAAATCAAAGGTGCCTCAAAAGGATTCCTCCTTTCTCCCGTAATAGATGATATCTGCACGGAAAATTTCGAACCAACAGCCCTGTCCTCATGAAATCTCAAACCCACCTGCTGGTTAGGGTACCTTGATGACACCTTTGTCATTTGACCCCATGGTAAAGACACATGGAATGGAATGGACACAATGGAAGTTGAGTCTAAAGCGTCTTTGCAATTTCTTGATGTCTTCTATTCAGAAACACCCACCTCCTAGTTTTTTCTATTCCATTTATTTCCTATTCCTATATTATTCCGTGTACCGGAGACCCACCCATACAAACCGAGTATCTCAATGCCCAGTCACATTATCAACTATCAATTATTATCAATTATTAACACTATTGTTTTGTTGAGAAAAGTATTTTTACTTTTTATTAAAGGTGTTATTGACAAGATCAGTTGAACTCTCAACCCTCTAAGCCTCAAAACCATCTTCACCACTCACTCTTAGTTGTCCAATCTCGTTAAATCCATAAAAGACCAAATCCCAATGAATACCACGGTGTCTATGAGATACCCTATTCCAGTTGCCTACGTACATACATAGGACAGACAAACCGACGCATCTACAACCGCATTTACGAACATTCTATATCTGCAAAACATTCCTCCTATCGCTCCTATCCTCTCCTTTAAATCGAGAATGATTCATGAAGGTATCTAAATTGAAAAATGCCCTAACAAAATGCCCAACACTTTCGCTGCGCTGACTTCGATGGAAGTCAAATTAGTGTTTTGCTAGGTGTGGATGATTCCGATCGGAGACAGTAACCCGTTGAAATTTATGATGGTATAAGTATGAAAAACAAGAAATATTCCTGCCTCCAGACATAATATTTCAAAAATTCCTGTGTTTAATATGGGACAAACAAAGAGAAGGCATTGCAAATTATGCTCCGAAAACAAAACAGATCACTGCGAAAAATGTCCTGATCAACTCGGATTGTGTGTTGAATGCTTTGAAATTACTCATATATGAATCAAAACCAAATCAAAATGAGAATCTTTCTCTATTTTATACAATAAATAAACTTATTTTGTCTAAAATTTCGTTATATAATTATTTTTCTAGAAAAACGTTGTAATTTGCCTTGTGCTGATCGGAGTCAGTCGTGCCGATACAGTAGAAATTCTTAGCCAGGTGCGCGTGAGTCTAATCGGAGTTAAAAATATAAATCACATTTTATAAATAAATATACACTTTATTTAATTAAATTAATATTATTATATACTCTAATATCAATTACAACGATATTTTAGAAAAAAAATTATTGCCACTCCTGGGTAACACCTCTCGAAAAAATTCAGCAGCGAATGTGTTAAACACGCACGATGATGCTTAAAGACTGCTGGTAACATGGAGACCGCTGCTTCAGCGACCTCTCCCGCCAACCGATCCCACTCAGACCGTTTTCGCACATACCGAACTCTTTTGAGTGGTCAATCCCGTATGATAAATTATATATGATTTTGGTCATCTTACTACTTTCTCTGGGAATAATAGTTTCTGTTGCTGAATACCTTTTAAAAATCTCTTTTTCATTGTTTTTCAATTCCCCACACAAGTAATCAATTACCAATAAATATTTGTTTTATTAATCTTAATATACTAACTGTTGTAATATTGCTTGTTCCTAAAGACTTCTCTATGTAGATTCTTTCTTCCTTGGAGATATGTTTACAATGACCAGGACTTTCACTTCCTGCAAAGATGTACGCAATGGAGCAACATAATCCAAAGACGCCAAATATGTAGAAACTCATGGGCCAGCCTACAGACGATTTTGACAGGAATCCAGTGAGGGAGTACGTCAGTATTACACCAAGAGTGGCACCTAAAAGTAAAAAAAAATTAAATATAGATTTAAATATTGGTATAGTGTAAAATATTGTTCATTACAAAATAAAAAATTCTGTATTTTACATCAAATAAATAACTGAAGAAGAAAACAAGGAAAAGAGATATAACTTCGAATATGACAATATTTCTGTTAAGTTAATTACAAAACTGCAGGCGGTTTGAAATTGTAACATAAACCAAAATTATTGTTATTTAACCTTTGATGGACAGCTGGTCACTATTTTTAATTACGTTTAGTTTATTCATGGTTTTTTGATGAAAACTGCACTTTAAAACAAATTAATATATCGAAAACGAGTGTATGGAAATAACGGCTTCACCCGAAGTACAAATTTAAAAATTAGAAAAAAATGTGAATTAAAAATTAAAAATCATTTTTTTAATCAAAAGCAAAATATAGAGTCTTCTTAAACAAGAAAAAGATCGTGAAATACCAAAAAAATGCCGACAAATCTCCTTGTGTCACTTATTTAATTTATACGAAAGATGATCCTACACCGTATCCAGAATTAAGGTTTTTTTTTTTGAACCTATTCTCTATCCTTCCATTGTTAGATATAGGTCTCCCCAGTTCTCTCCATCTTTCCCTATCTTGAGCTGTTCTCTGCCATGTGGGACCTCCTTGTTTCCTGATGTCATCTTTCCACCTCATCTGTGGTCTGCCTCTTGATCTCTTTGCATTGTATGGACGCCACTTTCCGATGGCATTGTTCCATTGTCCGTCTTGGAGACGTTCATTGTGTCCAGCCCATTTCCATTTCAGTTTTGCTGCTTGTTCTATCGCGTCTACTGTCTTTGTTCTGGTTCTGATCCACTGGTTACGTTTTCTACTCGGTTACGTGTATCTCTAAGTGATACACCCAACATTTGTCTCTCCATCACTCTTTGTGCCTTCCTTATCCTATCCAAATTGGCCTGTGTAAATGTCCATGTCTGTGCTCCGTAGGTGTGCACCGGTATGATACAGAAGTTATATACCTTGCTTCGTAAGTATAGAGGGATTGTTTGATTTTTTAGAACGTAAGAAAGTTTTCCGAACGCTGCCCATCCCATTCTTACTCGTCTCGATATTTCGGCTGTTTGATTTTCTCTATTAGCTCTGATTGCTTGTCCTAGATAGATATACTCATTTACCTGTTCTATTTTTTCTGTTTTTATTTTTATTGCCTCTTGGTCTTCCGTGTTTGTCATTACTTTTGTTTTGTTGAAGTTAATTTTTAGGCCTTTTTGCAGTGATTTTTCATGAAGTTCACTCAGCATTAATTCCAGTTCTTGTCGTTCCGAGGAGATCAGGAGTATATCATCCGCATATCTAAGGTGATTAAAGTATTTTCCGTTAATACATATTCCTCTGTTTTCCCAATCTGTTGATTTTATTATGTCTTCGAGGGTCAAGGTAAACAGTTTAGGTGAAATTATATCGCCTTGTCGATCTCCTCGTTTAACTTTTATATTATCCGTTATTAATTTGTCGTCCAGAATTACGGTCATGGTTGCGTTTTGGTAAATATCATGTATCAATTGTCGGTATCTTGAATCTATTCTACTATTAACCAGAGCTTCTTCAACCGCCCAGTGTTCAATGCTGTCGAAAGCCTTTTCATAATCTAGGAATGCTAAGTACAGCGGAAGGTTGTATTCATTGGTTTTCTCAATTAAGATTTTAAGCGTATGTAGATGGTCGATTGTGCTGTATCCTTTTCTGAATCCGGCCTGTTCCACTGGTTGGTAGTTATCAAGTTTATAGGTTAGTCGGTTGTTTATTATTCTTGTGAAGGTTTTATATAGTTGTGACAAAAGGGAAATAGGACGGTAGTTGTTTAGGTCTGTTCGGTCTCCTTTCTTATGTATTAAGATTGTGTTGGCATTTCTCCATTGTTTAGGTATTTTACCTTCAAACAGACATTTGTTGAACAGTATTTTTAGCATTTTTTTTATCGTGTCTCCTCCTTCTTTTAGCAGTTCCGCCAGTATTTAGTCCTCACCGGCCGCTTTATTTCTTTTCATGTCGTTTATGGATTTTTTGATTTCATCTTCAGTTATTTCTGGTAATACCTCTGAGCCAACATTTTGTATTTTCCTCGTGAGATTCTGTTTAGATGATAGTGGTGGGTCATTTTTAGAACTGTATAGGTCTGTGTAATATCTTTCTGTGATTTTTACTATTTCTCCTAGATCTCTTTCTTCATTGTTCTCAGCTTTAAGCATGATTAGTTTTCTTTTTCCTATATTTGTCTTCATTGTTTTTAAACTTTTGTTCTTCTCTGTGATTTTCTTAATGCGGTCTTCTTGGTATTTCTTTAAAACTTCCTTTATCTGTTTTCTTATGGTTTTATTCAGTTCGGTATACTCCACTGTATTTCTTTTGTTATCGTTCAGTAGTTGTCGTCGTTTTTTTAGCATATCTTGTGATTTAGCGCTAATTTTTTGTTGTTTTCGCTTTTGTTTATTAGCAATCTTCAGGCCTGCTTCTAGTAGTTCTGTTGTTATTTTATCGTTTAATTCGTCTAGTTGCAGACCCTTTAGCTGTGATATGTCACTTCTTTTTAGCTGGTTTATGTATTGTTCTTTGCGTTCTTTAAGAAGTTCTGTATCTATCTCTTTTTTAGATGGTTTAAATTTTTGTGGAATTAAGGTATCTCCGTAAAAAGTCTCTGATCTTAGTCGTAGAACAAGAGATTCTACGTTTTACTACTACGAAATAAAGCAGATAAAAAATATGGTCAATGATTTATGGTTCTTTTACCAGTCACCAATTGTTTTGAACCAAATGCATGACACTGAAGCTCCCCTACGATTTACCCAGCCGATTCTCCATCTATCATGAGGACGGACATCTATAATTTAAGTTTAATGCTTAAGACCAATCTACATTCATGTTAGCGGTATGGAAGAAAGAGCACAATCCTGACCTATGTTTTGTCTGTATTAATAAAAACGAACAACCTTTAGAGGTCTCTCGCGAAAAGTAATGGACGACTTCCCACACAAGGAACTATGCAGATCAGGTTCCTTCCCTTATTACATTTATTTGGGCAGGGTCCAGAGAAAACTTAAAACTATAGGCGCATTCATAGACGTAACAGTGGCCTACGATACAGTCTGTAGAGAAGGCGTGATATACAAGCTTCTCCATACAATCTTCTGTAAATCCATAGCTCGAATAATCAACAGCATACTAGCCGATCAAAAATACCAATCAGCAGCCAAAAAAAAACTGAAGAATGGACTGCCTCAGGGATCTGTTCTAGCTCCTCTTCGATTTAGTCTGTACATCGCTGATATACCAAAAACCAGATCAAGGAAGTTTGGTTACGCTGATGATTGGGTCCTTGCAACAAGATGTAAGTCATTTGAAGAAACAGAAGAAATTCTCACGGCTTACTTATACACAGTGAAAAAGTAATTCCGTAAATGTAGGCTCCAACAAAACGCTACAAAAACATAGGTTTCTAATTACCACCTAAATAACAACCTTGCAGAAAGAAAACTGAACATCCAATTCAAAAACATCACACTCGCCTACAATAAAACACCAAAGATAGAATTTCAATCCTAATCTTTAGGATTGAAATCGGGTGAACGTGGAGGCCATTCAATTCTACCTTGTCTACCAATTTATCGTCCAGGAAATATCTCATCTAAATATTGCCGAAAATTTACACCAACTATCTGACGTTAAATTTCTTTCGACAAAAAATGACCGAATTGAATAAGTAACTACTATATCTGACCATACATTTAATTTTTGTGGTCTTTGAGTATGGTTTTCACGCATTCAGTCTTCAGTGTGAATTTACGTCACACCAGTACCTTAAATTGTGTAGATTTGCACTTCCACAGAGTGTAAAAGTTGCTTCATCGGAAAAACATATTCTGTTAAAGAAATTTTAATAATTTTCAATTTTATCCATCATTACCTCAGTAAACTCTAATCTACGACCAAAGTCATCTTCACTTAATTCTTGCAATAAGTTAATTTTGTATGATTTAAATTTATTTTTACGTAACAAACGTAAGACTGAAGAATGACCTACATCATGTACTTGTGCAACCCTGCCTGGGGATGTATGTGGATCTTCAACAAAACTTTGCTTATATCTGAAGTTTTGTTGTCATTAATAACTCGTTTCGGTCAACCTAATCGCTATCTATCTTTTACTTCTCCAGATTCCTCAAATCGCTTACAGTTTTTTGTACCGTCGTCTTATGAATAGGAGAACGGTTTAGAGAACGGCATTTTAGAGAAGCAATTTAAATTGCAGAACTTTTTAAACCACAACTACTGTCAATTTTAGTTTGTAATTTAAATGGTGAACAAATGTCAAAATCACAGCATTCTCCATTTAAATATTTAAATTTATTAAAATATACATATTTTGCACTGTTTTATGTATTTAAGATCTTTCAGACTACTACATAAAATCAAGTAAACATATGGTTGAACTCGTATTGAATAGCTGAACTCGTGTGAAATTCACACTGAATGCGTGAAAACCATACTCAAAGACCCTACAAATTAAATGTATGGTCAGTGATAGTAGGTAATTATTTAATTGGGCCATTTTTTATCGAAAGAAATTTAACGTCAGATAGTTGGTGTAAATGTTCGGCGTTATTTAGATGAGATATTTCTCGGACGATAAATTGGTAGACAAGGTAGTATTGAATGGCCTCCACGTTCACCCGATCTCAATCCTAAAGATTATTTTTATTAAAGATACGTGAAAAATTCAGTTTACAAAACTTAACCAGCAAGTATTGCATAGCTAAGGCAATTAATTATCGATGAATCTCGAATAATTTCAAGACAATTATGGAGAAATGTGGTAGACGCATTCTACTATCGATTAGAGTGCTGTCAACTCACAAATGGAGCACATTTTGTACACTTAATAACGTAACTATTATGTTAAAAAATATTCTAAACTATCAATTGTTACGTTTTAATGTATTTGAAAATAGTTAGTATTA